GCCAATGTGGTCATGGTAAAAAAGAAGAATGGGAAATGGCGGATGTGTGTCGACTTTACCGACCTGAACAATATGCCCAAAAGATTCCTTTCTGTTACCACGTATCGACCAGCTTATCGATGCAACGGTGGGACACGAACTACTCAGCTTCTTAGACGCTTATTCTAGTTACAACCAAATCCTAATGGTTGAAGAGGACCAAGAAAAGACAACTTTCATCACTCACCAAGGAACGTACTGCTACAAAGTCATGCCGTTCGGACTCAAGAATACAGGGGCGATGTATCAAACATTAGTCACCAAGATATTCAAAGAACAACTCGGTAAGACCATGTAGGTTTACATCGACGACATGCTAGTGAAGTGAAAACGAAATAGGATCACATTGGTCATCTAAAGGAAGCCTTAGAGATATTGAGGCAATACGGAATGAAACTAAATCCCGAAAAATGCGCGTTTGGCATAACCTCAAGGAAGTTTCTCGATTTACTGGTGTCACAAAGGTGTATCGAAGTCAATCCGGATCAGATTAGATCCTTTGAAGGAATACCGAAGACATTAACCAACAAGAAGTAGGTGCAGAAATTAACAGGACGAATAGCCGCCCTGTCGAGGTTTATTTCACGATCGTCGGACAGATGCCATAAATTCTTCAATGTGCTAAGGAAAGACCACGGACTATAGTGGAATTCAGAGTGCATCGACGCCTTGAGAAAGCTAAAAGCGTACCTATCCTCGTTACCACTACTCATCAAGGCAGACCCGGGTAAATGCCTCCTGGTGTACCTAGCAGTCTCCGAAGTCACGGTAAGTGCAGCCTTGATCTGCGAAAATAAAGGTACGCAATCTCCGATTTACTATATCAACAAAACCTTAATTGATGGCGAAACAAGGTACCATCACCCTGAGAAACTAGCTCTGGTATTAGTCGTAGCTTCATGAAAGCTTAGACCATATTTTCAATGTCACCCCATAAAAGTGGTGACAACCTTCCCCCTCAAGGGAATCCTACACAAACCCGAACTATCAGGTAGGTTGGCCAAATGGGCCATAGCATTAAGCGAGAATTACATAACGTACCAACCGCAAACTACTATTAAGTCACAAGTGCTCGTCGATTTCGTCGCCGATTTCAGTGTGGAAATACTGCCTGAAGTAGAGCAGGAGGCGCTCCACGCTTCCGCATATTCCGACCTCTGGGTTGTCTACACCAATGGTGCATCTAATGCATCGGGATCAGGACTGGGACTTGTCCTCAAAGTTCCTATGTGTGAAGTAATTCGCTAGTCCATACGATTCCCCAAGATGACTAACAACGAGGCCGAGTATGAAGCTATGATTGCAGGATTGAAATTAGCCCTCAAATATGGCGCTCGACGACTCATCCTCCATTGCGATTCTCAACTCGTGGTGAACCAAGTCACTAGGACTTTCCAAATCAAAGAACATAGACTACAAAAGTACCAGTCATAAATTCACAAATTGCTGCCAGAATTCGACGAATGCCACCTCGACCAAATACCCAGGGCTAGAATATCAAAACAAATGGTCTCGCCAAGCTAGCGGCAACCACTAGAAATATCAACAAGGAAAACGTGGTCACTCTTCTCCATTCAGCAATAGACCAGGTCGAGGTACATTGTGTAAATCTAACTTAGGAATGGCGCAACCGTATCATAACATATTTGCATGATGGAACGCTCCCACAAGATAAGAAAGAAGCCAAAAAACTTCGAATACAGACAGTCAGATACAGCCTCGTAAACTGTGATCTTTACAAGAGAACATTCGGCAGCCCCCTGGCCAAGTGTCTTGGGCTAAATCAAACAAGACGAGTATTAGAAGAAGTACACGAGGGGAACTGCAGTGCCCATACGGGAAACCACGCCCTCATCCGATACCTCATCCGCGCCAGATACTACTGGCCTACCATGAAAAAAGAAGTCGTGGATTATGTCAGGAAGTGTGAACAGTGTCAAAAATACGCCCCTATAATACACCAAGAGAGAGAACTCCTGCATTCCGTCACTTCGCCATGGCCATTCATAAAGTGGGGGATGGATATTATCGAACCCCTCCCGGCAGGACGAGGTAAGGTACGCTTCCTTTTGGTTTTAATTAACTATTTTTCTAAATGGGTGAAAGCAGGTGCGTACACTCAAATACGCGAGCAAGAGGTTACTGCGTTCATATGGAAAAATATAATATGTCGCTTCGGCATTCCCAAAGAAATCAGCTGTGACAACGAACCTCAGTTTGTCGAAATGAAAACGATCGATTTTTTCAAATACTCTCCACACCATACCATCCCGCCGGCAATGGCCAAGCCGAATCCTCCAATAAAATGATACTAAATATATTGAAAAAGAAGCTCGAAGACGCCAAAGGGCTATGGCCTAAGCTCCTACCAGAAGTACTATGGGCATACCACACTACACAAAAAACTAGCACAGGCGAGACACCATACTCACTAGTCTACGGGACTGACGCTGTTATACCCGTCGAAGTCAGAGAACCTAGCTTGAGATACTCCAACGAAAGCGGACTGAGCAATGATGAAAGTAGGATTCAAGATCTGGATGAAGTCGAAGAACGAAGGGATACAACCCACGTAAGAATGGTAGCCCAAAAATAACAAGTAGAAAGGTACTATAACAAGAAGGCCAAAATATGACCGCTCAAGGTCGGAGACTACGTCTTCAAAGCTAAAACACAACCAGCGAAAGACCCTAACAAAGGAAAACTGCGAACAAACTAGGACGGACCGTGCAAAATCACGGCGGCAGCAAACAGAGGAGCATTCCAGTTAGAAACAATGGAAGGAAAACTACTCCAAAACAATTGGAATGTCGCCCATCTCAAATATGTCCACTTTTGAAAAAAGGCGCCATCTAAGTCATACTCTTTTTCCCTCATCCGAGTTTTTTCCCAATCAGGTTTTCTCGGTGAGGTTTTTAATGAGGCGACAAGGGGGGCGCCTCGAGGTCTGAAGTAATGTTCATGACCCTGGCTGTCGACGCGATCTCCAGGCCGAGTAATGAGGGGACTGGATATAGATAATCAAATCTCCATTGCATGTAGAAAGTCGACATGTATTTCCTACAAAGATATAATCAAATCTCCATTGTATGTACAAAGTCGACATGTATTCCCTACAAGGATATAATCAAATCTCCATTATATGTACAAAGTCAACATGTGTTTCCTACAAGAATATAATTAAATCTCCATTTTATGTATAAAGTCGATAGGTATTTCTACGGGAATATGATCAGACCAATAAATGAGCGAAAATCCCAATGGCCAAGGCCATCGACGAAACTATGAGTTCGACCTCATTCGAACTACGGCGGGATTCTACCTCGACGACATTTCGAAGGTAATATCCCAATGGCCAAGGCCATCGACAAAACTATGAGTTCGACCTCATTCGAACTACGGCGGGATTCTACCTCGACGACATTTCGAAGGTAATATCCCAATGGCCAAGGCCATCGACAAAACTATGAGTTCGACCTCATTCGAACTATGATGGGATCCTACCTCGACGACAATTCGAAAGTAACATCCTAATGGCCAAGGCCATCGACAAAAATATGATTTTGACCTCATTCGAACTACGACGGGATCCTACGTCGGCAATAGTTTGAAGGTAACATCCCAATGGCCAAGGCCATTGACGAAAATATGAGTTCGAAATCATTCGAACTACCATGGGATCCTACCTCGACGACAGTTCGAAGGTAACATCCCAATGGTCAAGGCCATCGACCTCATTCGAACTACGACGGGATCCTACCTCAATGACAATTCGAAGGTAAAATCCCAATGCCCAAGGCCATCGACAAAAATACGAGTTCTACTTCACTCGAACTACGATGGGATCCCACTTCAACGATCGTCGAAAGTAGCATCCCAAAGGTTAAAGTTACTGCCAAAAGAAAAAGGGATCGACCTCACCCAAAAGCAAAATCAGCTTAACAGTTCTACAGGTATCCTGGATACAATAAATATTGCAAAGATCATCACTGAATCGACAAAACAAATTCTACATTACATCAAAATGTCACTTACACCTATCTTTATAATGGGATCAAGCATGCCCCTTACAAAAGTCCCAAATCAAAAAGTAAGTACAAACAAAAAGTTACATATCATCCCCGATTGGGTACGCATCTTTGTACCAAGAGTCAGAAGCAAGACGGTTCGCATCATCAAAATTGATATCATCCCCGTCAGGTGTAAGAGGGTCGTACCCCCATGCCTCATGAGCTGCATGAGCTTCGGCACGTACGCCCTGAAGTTCTGCTTCAGATGCCCTCCCCTCAGCATGAAGAGCCTTGTACATGTCAAGCCGGGCCTCGACATGGACCCACAACTCATATAAGCGACGAGGCACGACCGGATAGGCCGAGGCACGAGACGTAGAAGGTTGTGAGTGTCGACTCGCACCCTCCGCTCTCAGTGAGGCCACTTGTCCATTCAACACAAATAGCTCCGCCTCCAACTCCTTAACACGCCCCTCAAACCCCGCGATTGTAGACATGTAATTTTTGACCCTCCTCGAAAAATTACAACTTTTAGTGCTTAGATATTAGTTTTAGGCGTAATAGTACTATTTTCACTATCTCCTTAACTTTTGACTTTATTTTATCCTTAAAAAATCAAAAACTACCGAATATTTTCCTTTATTTTAGCTAGTTGATATTTTGTCTAGTTAGTTTTACTTTTGAAAAAAATAAAAAAATAGACTAGGCATTTTATTTTTCAAAAGATAAGAAGAAATTTCAAAAATATATATTTACTTAGTTTAGTTTTAAAGTTGTAGGTTTTAGTGCAAATTGAGTATTATTTAAATTTTATTAATATAATAACTTTACATCTCCTCCTAATATTTTTATTAGTCTAAATAGACTAGTATCTTTATAAAGCTATTTTTAATTCATCAGTAGAATAAAAGAAAAAATTGAAAGAAAAAAGATAACAGAAAAGAAAACGAAAAAAAAGCAAAATGAAATTATATCAAAAAAAGATAGGAAGAAAACATGGACCTTTTCATTTTGCTATGATTTCTCACGGAAATTCCTTTTGAGATTTCAATTTTGATATTGTGGGGGCCACACATTTTCAAAAGAATCCTGACTTCTTTTCCAAGGACGACACACACATATATACGAGGATTCACGTCACTTTCAGAGGGGGGGCCACACGGTTTTGGACACTTCTTTTTCTCCAAGCAATTACTCCATTTTCATGGACAAAAACACAGAAATAGAGTGAGAGGGACGGGAATAATAGTGAGAGGGCTCACCCATCTTCTTCTCCAAAAAATCCGCCGCCACCCTCCACCAGCGAGTTTAGCCGGGAAATCCGGCAACCACACCCCTCCATTTCCTCTGTTGTCCACCACCACCTAGCAACAACGACCCATCTCCCTTACTCTAAAAACAACCAGCAGCCACACACCACCAAACCAACCGGACCTCTTCTGTAGAAAACATCCATGCTCACTTTCTCTCTCTATCTAGTCTCCAATTTGTCAATCATCACTCTTCTCCTTTTCTAATTTCTTCAGAAATATCAGCTAAATTGGAAAAAATCGGCTGCTAGAATGCTTCTTCGGTTAAGCTCGCCATAAATGTGAAACCTCTGTTCTATCTCGTGCTTCCTACTCCTCTGCTGCTTAGTTGCATTTGTTTCTGCTCAAATATCTAACAATGCTACCTCTAAATGGCTTACACTGAGCGATCTCGCTTGAGGTTGAGTCCAGTTGGGGATTTTCATTTTTGTCGCGATTTCCAATCCGATCAACGGTTCAAGCTTCGTTTCATCTGTTCATGTTGGGATTTGTTCAAATTTTGATCGGAAATCTGTGTATATGTTTCAAAGTATCAAGGGAGTTTTCACTACTTGAAGGTTTATCCCTCCCTCTGTTCTTACTTAATCCAAATTGCTATCATGTGCTATCCTACGTTTGTTTGCACGCCATGTTTAAATTGTTGCTTTGTGACTGGTTTTTGATTTCTCCCTTTTAGATCCATTTGATTTGAATCTTTGATTGAGCTTTTAATAAAAGACAAGTTGTGAATTTTTTCTTGTGAATACATATGGACATGTAAGTTGAATAGGGATAGTGGATGTCCGTAGAGAGGCAATTGTGATTAAATAGGATTAGGACGTGGCGGTTTGATCAGAAATTGAGAGAATTGGGTTTAAGAGAATTAGACAATAAGATGTCATGCTTTATTGTTATTTCGCTATTACTAGATACTCGCTGAACGCTAGGAGTATGCTAGGCCGACCACACTTGGGTAGGCAAGCCTTAGGATTTTTGTTAGTCTTGATGTGAGAGGTCGTTCCCTTAGTTAACTTTATCCGGGGAATACCCCGAGGGATTTGTAGATATTTTGTTCTGGGGAATGCCCCGAAGAACTTTGTAAATATTTGGAGGCCTTGATGAGCATTGTGAATAAGTCATAATATATACTAGTTTAGGATTTTTCCTTTCTTTTCTTTTCATTTTCTCTTATTAGGTGAGGACAGCCTCGAGCCTTTTGTGTGTGTTTATTTTTCCATTTCTGTGTTTATTATGTTAATTCGAATATTTTAAAAGCCCACTAGATCGAGTACGCAACCGTACTAGTTACGGGACTTGGGGAATGCCTAAAACCTTCCCCCCCGAGTCAAATGAACCCCCTTACCTGAGTCTCTAATGTAGACTTAGTTTTGGAGTCCAAAGTGTTTTAAAAGGAAATCATTTTAAAAACGGTGACCTGGCACATCGAAACCAATGTCAGGATATGATTTGACTCATATTCTGATTGAAGGCATGTTGTGCTTACTGAGTTTATCATGATGTGGATTTATTTGTTTCTTACTGCTCAATCTCTATTCACGTTTATTACTTACTGAGTTGGCGTACTCACATTACTCCCTGTACCTTGTGTACAGATCCAGGTATTTCTAAACCTAGTAGCGGGTGTTGATTATTCAGTGGCAGGTCCATCGGAGTTAGCAAGGTAGCTTCCTGGAAATCGCAACCCTGCTTCTCTCCCTCCTTATCCTCCCTTAGGTGTAATTAGTTATTTCTAGGCTATGTTAGTCTTGTTATTGTTAGACGGTTGTAGTAGATGCTCATGACTAGTGACACCCTGATGTCGGGCTTTCTTTCCACACTGTTGTTTTGATTTAAACATGTTATGAAGGTTTATTGTTAAATAGCTTTGATTTTATCTTTAAAATGAAAATATTGATTGGTTTTTGGAAATGTGCAGCTTGCCTAGTACCACGTTGCCATCACGACCGGGTTGGTTTTTGGGTCGTGACATTAAAGTAGGTGTGTAATGTTGAATATGACTTGTGTACAAAATTTAGGGTCAATCGGACATGATTTGATAGGTTTCGGCATCGGTTGTAGAAATTTGAAGTTTCAAGTATTTTAAGTTTTAATTGGAGGGTGATTCGTGATTTTAGTGTTGTCAGATGTAATTTGAGGGCTCGACTAAGTTTGTATGGTATTTCAGGACTTGTCGGTATGTTTGGTTGAGGTTCTGAGGGCCTCAGGTGCATTTCGGATGCTCAATGGTTCATTTTTGGACTTTGGAATATAGCAGATTTTCTGGTATTTTTGTTGCAAACATTTCTTCATCACGTTCGCGAGAGAGGTCTCGTGTTCGCATAAGGTATCTAGGAGGCCAACTGAAGTTGTTCTTTGCGTTCACAAAGATGGGGCCGCATTCACGAAGGAGTTGTTAGGCAGTGCATCGTGAACGTGAGAAGGGCATCGCGTTCGCGTAGAGAAAGTTGAGCGGATGGGACCCCAGACCTTTTTGCCTACACATTCGCGATGTTGGTCTCGCGTTCGTGTAAGCTTGAGCTGAGTGGTCTTCGCGTTCGCGACAAGCATATCACGTTCGTGATGAAGGGATTCTGATCCAAAGTAAGGTTGTGCTTCACGAATGCGAGGGTCCTTCCGTGTTCGCGAAGAAGGAATTATTTGGGGAGAATATAAAGTTTCAAAAATAAGGGTTTGGCCATTTTTATCATACTTGAGTTTGGGAGCTCGCATTTGGAAGAGATTTCGAGGGAGTTTCAAAGATGTCAATTGGGTAATGATTCTGCACTTGATTTTGGTTATATACCACTAATCTATCATTAATTTCATCATTTAATTTCGAATTTGGGTTGAAAATTGGGGAAAATGGGAAGAAGTTCTTCAACTAAGATTTTGGGTTTTGATTGAGATTTTGACAACGGATTTGGATAATTTTGGTACGAGTGGACTCGTGAGTGAATGAATGTTCATATTTTGTGATTTTTACCTGATTCCTTGACGTGGTCCCGGGTCAACCTTTTGAGGCGATTTTCTAATTCCTTGCTTAAGTCTTGGTTTTATTAGTTAGATTAGTTTCTTATAGTTATATTTATGTTATGAAATTGCTTTTGGATAGATTTGAGCCATTCAGCGTCAGATATTCGTGGAAAAGGTATTGTTATCGAGTGATTGAGCTTGTTTCGAGGTAAGTCGCTTGCCTAACCTTGTATGGGGGAACTCCCTTTAGGATTTGGTACTATTGTGATATGTGAGCGCTATGTACGTGAAGTGACGAGTTCGTACACTGGCTATTTGTTGTAAAACTCCGTTTTTCCATTGAGTAATAACATGTTCCACTTTAATTGAGTTATACTAGCTTATGTAATTATCTTGTTTAGTTTAGAATAGCATGTCTCCATGTCTTAATTGCTTATCTGAACTATGTGCATCATGCTTAGTTAATCCCCTACTTCTTCCTTGACTTGTACTTAGTCTAAATTGTAGGATTTTGTGTTGTAGCCATTATTTCCATTGTTTGAGCTGCATATTTACTTTTGGACTACGGGACGGTATCCTGAGAGATCCCCCTGCATATTTACTTTGGGACTACGAGATGGTATCCTGGGAGATTCCCCTGCATATTTACTTTGGGACTACGAGATGGTATCCTGGGAGATTCCCCTGCATATTTACTTTGGAACTACGGGACGGTATCCCGGGAGATCCCCCTGCATATTTACTTTGGGACTACGGAACGGTATTCCAAGAGATCCCCTTGCACATTTATGTTTAGGACTACGAGACGGTATCTTGGGAGATCCCCTATTGATATTTCTGTGTACTGTACTATTATTCTTCTGTGACTTCCTTCTGGTTAAATTTCATTCTTTATTTTACTGTGATATTTTGTTCCGTCTTATTTATTACATTCATACTAGTAGGGCCCCGACCTGACCTCGCCACTACTCGATCGAGGTTAGGCTTGGCACTTACTAGTACCATTGTGGTGTACTCATGCTACTCTTCTGCGCATATTTTCGTGTGCAGATCCAGGTAACTCTTACCAGCCTCGTCCTTAGTCGCATACCTCTTGCTTCCCGAAGACTTCAAGGTACATCTGTAGCGTCCGCAGACCTCGGAGTCCCCTTCTATACCTTCTTATGTCGTTCCTTTTTCATTCTTCTGGATTCTGATGTATAGAACAGTTAGATAAATCATAGAAGCTTATGACTTACGATGTTCTAGGTATTGGGATATTTTTTATATGTTTTGAGAGTTGGTTACTGTATATGCCGAGCGTCATCTTTATCACTTCTTTAGATATCAGTTGCATTCATTTTTGGTTATTTCTGCATATGTTAGGCTTACCTAGTCATAGATACTAGGTGCCATTACGACATCTCACGGAGATAGGATTGGGTTGTTACAAGTTGGTATTAGAGCTCTAGGTTCATAGGTGTCGTGAGTCACAAGCCAATTTATTAGTGTCTCGCGGATCGGCACGGAGACGTTTGTACTTATCTTTGGGGGGCTATGCAACTGATAGGAAAGTTACACTTCTTTGATTCCTTGTCGTGCGAAGATTTGTTTACTTCAAAGTTCTAAACTTCTGTATTCTATTCTCTCATGGATGGTGAGAACACGTACAACCGGAGATGACCAGGCACCCGCGCCCCCTACTAGAGTCGCTAGAGGCTAGGGCCGGGGTAGAGGTAGAGGACGTCCATGCGGTGCAGCCAGATCACCCGCACGAGCTGGCACAAAGGAGCCACCAGTAGCTCCAATTAGAGTGCAGGCACCTGAGATGCCTACTACTGCTTGACCAGCTCTTAAAGAGACCCTTGCACAGTTCATGAGAATGCTCAGTACTCTAGCTCAGGCAGGGTTGATTCTCATTACTCATGCCACATCTGAGTCCTGGGAGGATCACAGACTCTCGTCGTCCTCACCCCAGAGCAGCGGGTTCAGGGTGATTAGATTCCAGAAGTTATACATGTGCCACATGTAGCTCTAGTGCAATCCAAGGGTAGGGCAGCAATTTCTGAGAAGGAGCAGTGTAGGCTCGAGAGGTATAAGAAGTACCACCCTCCTACTTTCAGTGGCCTAGCATTAGTGGATGCTCAGGGATTTCCGAAAAAGTGCCACGGTATCCTCCGCACTATGGTCATAGTAGAGTCGAGTGGGGTTTCTTTCACATCGTTTCAGCTTAGAGGAGCAACCTATCAGTGGTTGCATGCTTATAAGTTGGACAGTCCGACTAAGGCAGATTCACTTACATGGACTCATTTCTCAGACATGTTTTTGAGAGAATATGTCCCTCAAAGCCTCAAGGACGCATGTCGCGCGTAGTTTGAGCTATTGCGCCAGGGTGCTGTGACTATTTCAGAGTACGCAATTCATTTAAGTGACTTGGCTAGACATGCACCGGCCTTGGTTTCTACAGTTTGAAAGAGGGTCTGTCTGTTTATTGAAGGACTCCACACCAGCATCAGGACTAGCATGGAGCGGGAGTTAGAGATGGATATCTCGTATCAGTAGGTTGTGAGTATTGCTAGGAGAGTGGAGGGCATGCTTGCTCGGGAGAGAGAGGAGAGAGAGGCCAAGAGGTCTTGAGAGTCTGGCTACTATTCTGGTGCGCGTGACCCAACTGCAGTTCGACATGGTAGGGGCTATATAAGTCGACCTGTTCATTTAGCTCTTCTAGCCGCCAGTGGTGTTCTGGATACTTCTAGGCCTCGGGAGCCTTATTATGCACCTCCAGTATCTAGTGTGCCTCCTGCACAAGGTGCTTTTAGCGGTCAGTCCAGCAGACCTGGCCCTCGCCAGCCACACCCTTCCAAAGCTTATTTTGAGTGTGGCGACACTCACCATATGGTGAGGGATTACCCCAGATGTAGCACGGATGCACCTTTACAGACTTCTCAGCCACATCGTGCTCCATAGGGTCCCCAGGCTATAATTACAGCACCAGCTACCACTCTACCTACTCAACCAGCTCGAGGTGAAGGTCAGGGAGGTAGAGGTTGCCCTAGAGAGGAAGGCTAGGACAGATATGTCCTTCCTGCTCGCATAGAGGCAATTGCTTTCGATTTTGTCATTATAGGTATTGTCCCGGTCTGTCATTAGAGATGCATTGATAATATTTGATCCAGGCTCTATATATTCCTATGTGTCCTCTTATTTTCCCCGTATTTGGGCATATCTCGAGATTCTTTGAGTTTCCCTATTTACGTGTCTACTCCTATGGGAGATTCTCTTATTGTGGATCGCGTGTACCAGTCGTGTTTGATTGCTCTTAGTGGTTTTGAGACCAGAGCTGATTTATTATTGCTCAGCATGGTAGACTTTGATGTTATCTTAGGCATGGACTAGTTGTCGCCCTATTATGCTATTCTTGATTGTCATGTCAAGGCCGTCATGCTGGCTAAGCCAGGTTTACCATGATTAAGGTGGACGGGTAGCTTAGATTACATTCGTAGTAGGGTTATTTCATTTCTTAAAGCTCAACGAATGGTTGTGAAGGGATGTGATGCGTATCTAGCTTATGCGAGAGATGTCAGTATTGATACCCCTACAGTTGAGTCAGTTCCAGTAGTGAGGGATTTCCCTGATGTGTTTCCATCTAATCTTCCGGGCATGCTACCCGACAGATATATCGACTTTGGTATTGATTTATTGTCGGGTACTCAACCCATCTCTATTCCTCCATATCATATGGCTCTTCCTAAGTTGAAGGAGTTGAAGGAACAGTTACATGATTTGCTTGATAAGGGTTTCATTCAGCCCAGTGTCACCTTGGAGTGCTCCTATCTTGTTTGTGAAGAAAAAGGATGGTTATATGCGTATGTGCATTGATTATCGCTAGTTCAACAAAGTCACAGTGAAGAACATGTATTATTTGCCTCGTATTGATAACCTATTTGATCAGTTATAGGGTGCCAGAGTGTTTTCTC